GACCTCCCGCTGGGTGAGCACACCCAGGCTTCCTTCGCCTCCTCTGTGTGACAGCAGTCAGCGGAAAGGGAAGGTGCTAGAGTTTCAGGGAGGCTGAACAGATCCCCTGGCTTTGCTATCTGCACAAACAGCAGAGGAAGACTTACATTAGCGGCTGTGGACCGCTAGGCGTCTGGGAAATAAGCAGAGTCCACGTTTCTCCTGGACTCCAGTCAATGGAATTATGAGAATCATTTTCTCATATTGACCTTGGTAATAGAGCTGCTACCAAAAGGAGCGGTTAGGACAAATCAGTAAAATGGTGCCTGTAAAGCACTTGGTGAAGCGAGCTGATAATTACTGTTATTATTATTATTATTTTTTGAGACAGAGTCTTACTCTGTTGCCCTCAGTAGAGTGCTGTAGCATCACAGCTCACAACAATGTCAAACTCTTGGGCTTAAGTGATTCTCTTGCCTCAGCCTCCCAAGTAGCTGGGACTACAGGAGCAACCACAACACCTGGCTATTTTTTTGTTATAGTTGTCATTGTTGTTTAGCAGGCCCAGGCCATGTTCCAACCCACCAGCCCTGAGGCATGTAACTGGTGCCACTGAGTTCGGGTGCCAAGCCTAGTGTTAATTATTTAATAAACAGAGCTCTTCATGGGTTGTAGGCACTGTTCCAAATCCTTCCTAAGTATTAACTCATTTGGGCATCATGAAAGCTCTGTATAGTAGATATTGTTATCCTTTTTAAAAACAGAACTGAAGTACAGAAAGGTTAAGTAACTTACCTGGGTCACTCAGCCAGCAAGTGGTAGGGCTGGAATTTAAACTTAGCCAACTGCCTCCAGAATCCTAACCACTACACCAAGCAGACAAATAACCCTACAGTTACTTTAATATGGACTGGTCTTCCTAGTAATCCTGAGAAGACCCATTTTACAGTGAGACCCTTTCTTTATTCTTCAGTAAACCCTTCCTGAATCATCAGTGATGCTTCCATCAATAGCTCACTGGGACAGGTGCTGGTTTAAGAGTAAAGAGATCTCGTTCCCCAGGGAACCAGCAAGGGAGGCTGAGCCTGCCAGTCAATCCCAGTCTCACTCCCCCCGAGACTCTGCAGCAACTCCACCCTCACATCACTCAGCTCCTGCAGCCTGAACTTTGAGTGACTTTCAAAAAACCCGACAAGCCCCTTGACTCTTTTTCTTCAGTGCTTGGAGGGACCAAGACTCGTCTAAAAGTTAACTGACAGGTATTTTATCTACCCCCAAACTCTCCCTTTCTTACTAAGTCACCTGTTTTGTTTTGGGGTTTTTTGTTTGTTTGTTTGTTTGGTCCCCACACCATAGAAAAATTAGTAGAGGTGCTGAAGTCTACATACCATTTAAAGACTTTTTATTGGAAAATAAAGCACAGATTCTTTAAATCAGGCAAAGTGAATTATATCTTAGCAGAAGAGCAAGCAACCTTTCAATGAACACTCAAGTTCATAGAACTTTGCCACCCACCCCAAAACCCCTCCATCCCTCAATGTGCCCTGTCCCAATCAGTCTACTCCTGCCCCCCAAATCACCATTGTCCTGGCTCTTAGACAAATCATGACCTGTGTTGTCAAAAAGTAATTTATCACCCAACTGTGCATGCCTACACAGCTCAAGTGAATCCTGCTCATTTAAGAAAAGATGATAGGTCTCTTAGTCTCTTAAGTTTCTCATTTCTATGGGTTTCACCTTTTTTCTTCATAATTTATCCATTGAAGAACACAAGGCATTTGACCTGCAGTGTTTCCTACAGATGCCATTTTGCTGACTGTACACTGCTCAGTTCCACGTGTCTGCACACATTCTATAATGACTGTGATGTGGGGTGCCCACAGTGCAGGACACCCAGCGTCTACCTCTTGGGTAATGTTTATTTGGGCAGATGTCCTTTGTCCTTTTGTGAACAGGTGGCATTAGCAGCAGCAAGCGGACATTAAAAAATGACCCAAACACCAGCATGAGTGAGGTGAGAAGACACAGGGTTAGGTCTGCCCTCTTGTTACTTCCCTTGGAAACATCAGCATCTTCCTCATAGGGGTTTGGTGATAATTCAGTGTAATTCTGGATATAAAACTGCAGAATGAGACACATTCTAGAAGGTCTATTTTTTAAAAATGAACTGCTCTGCACAATGTCCCTTGCACGTTGGCATTAGGTCAGAACTGCCATGGCATTTCTCGCAGGAATTTGGCATAAGATGGGCCAATTCTAGTCCAACCCAACGGCATGAGAGTTACTGGAGTACTAAGATGACCTGATGGATTTTTATGTGGCTTTCCAGCAGGGTCTTGGAGGGTAGCAAGTATTTTGACACCAAGTTTTTCAACATTTTAATATTTTTTCATTCATCATAAAATAAAAAACATTGGAGACATGTTAAAGGAAAGCTATATATTGACTTAGCAACTGAATTTTTGTGTTATTCATATTTAGCTCTATTGTTCTTAAGGGTCACCCTGGCTGAAAAGAACTTCCATGTAGCTCATAATTTTTTCCAGGGGAGGAGAGTAGAGATAGATCTATCCCTTGAGACACTGACCAGCTGCCCCCACCCCCAATCCCCTAGCCTGTGAAAGGCCAACTTACTTTGTCTATGAACCCCTATCTGGGTTTGCTCAGTACATACTAACATCATCTAAGTTCAACCTGGGGATAGCTGTGTAGAATGTGTTTATTTTTATCTCTGGGTTTATACTGATAAACAGGCGAGGTTTCCTGCCTGGCTTCACCGCTAGACTGAAACTACTTCAGGTTAAATCTGTGCTTTACTCATGATTTTAAGTAAATACACATCTCTGCTGAAGCTGATCACATCTTCAATGCAGTCTACAAAGCCATTTCTCTCCGCAGCCTGTCCATGTGCTTGTTTAACTGGTAGCTGTGGTTTTCATTAGGGGCTGGCTGCATGTTTGTTGAATGTGGAAAAGAGATACTGTCTCATGCTTACCCTTTTGCCCTTCAGAAGAGATGGATGCCAGAGTTAAACAGATTAGATACACCTCTTTGATGTACTAAGAGCCTTGAGTAGAAGCAAATAAACAAACCAGTAAGTTTATGTTTTATCAGTGTAAGAGTAATTTCTGAGTTGCTGACAAACTAGCAAATTGGCTGGCCTTAATTATGTGATGATTACTGAGTCCAGAACATTGTTCAAGAAGTCCGGTCACCAGATCCACCCTGGGGACATGACTTACAGCATAACAACATGCTAGAGGTAAGATGTTCCACTACGCATTTGATGAAGTGTCAGTTCTCACTTTTGGTGACACAAGGCACCCACAGGGCTGCCTTCCTAGGGGCATGGAGCTCAGACAAGGGATGGGCTATCAGTTTTAAATGTGGAAATGAAAAGCTGTTGCAGAAACTCATCGCCAGTTTATGGAAATTTATAGAAAGGATGTTCTCTATAAATGAAAAATAAATATTAAATAGGATCACATAGGTCTGCCCTAGGGCCATGTTCCAAACGTTCGTTTTACAAGTGGTTACATGTGCCCATTTTAGTAACCACTGACTCAATCCCCTGGTGTCATTGAACTTCCGCTGCCCTCTGGGTGGTTAACTTTGAGGATGGCTGGGCAAGCGTCCTAAGCTCCAAACCTCACTAGCATTAGCTGCGTGAACGCTCCATGTGGATGTTCGTTTTCTTATTGTTCTTCAACATTCCCCCACCTGATCTCACCCAGCCCCCCTTTCGCCGCGTGGCCGTGCCCACCCCAGTCGACACTGTACCTTCTGCTTCAGCTGCAGCACCGTCTGCTTCATCTGGTGGAACTCCTTGCACGTGGCGCAGCACGTTCCAGCTTTCACCGCATTCTCGGACTTCTCCTCCTGGCCTGAGAAAGGAGACCGGCTCAGTTCCATCTGCGAGGCTGGATGAAAGCCAGGCTCAGAGAGGCAGCATCAGGAAGGCAGCCCCTCCCCCCGCCCACCCCGGGACAGCGACAGCGGAACGCGCAAGGGCAGCCTGTGATTTCACGGTTCCCAGGACCCTGCCAGCGCACTCCAGGTCAGGGAAGAGGGAACAGAGGGAGGGCATGTTCTGTCACGCTTCAGGCTCAGCTGTTCCTATTTAGACGTCCCGGGAAGATGCTGGGTTTCCTCTTTCGTGTATGAAAGTGTGTACCACAGCCCTTTCATCAGTGCCGTTCCAGGAGCAGGCGCTATAAATCTGACATGACTTAATACTCCCTCCAAGGGCCAGTGTTCACACGTCATAAATATCCCTCAAGTTCAAGCCATGGGCCTCAGAAGGCTCATCTTGATCCCCCACTAACCCAGGTCTCAGAGAGAGCACAGCTGGGTTGGGTGGGGTGGCAGGAGCTGATCCCACTGAGGTCTGAGGCTGAGATGGGAAATGTGCCAGGCACTCTGGACACCCCCCACCCGGGGCCACACAGGACAGCCATGGGGAAGGCATCTGGCCCCAAAGCCCTTCTGGAGAGCACTGGGGGCTGGGCAGAGTTTGCTAAAGTAAAATGGGTGCAGTAAACCATGCAGCCATTGTCCAGCCAGCTCGTCTCTCCAGGACTGGAGTGGGCTGCACAGGCTGCGTGCTGGGAGACTCCACACTGAGGTTGTCTTGCTATGAGGGCCAGATGCAGACTGCCAAGGTCTGTGCCAAAGCTGGGAGCAGTGTGGGTTAGAAGTTGTGTGGGGATGAGCATTAGGGAGGAGGGGAGGGCAGGACAGTTTGACACCAAGAAGGTATAAACTTTCAGCTTAGAAGCTTTTGGCGTTGGGCCTTGGATGCTGTTTGTGTGACAGTCAGGTAGTGTTCTCACCGTCTTCTCTGCTTCCTGGCCTACACACTTCCCTTTTCACTGGCCCTGTCTCATATCTCTACTTGCTGAATTCCACTGAGACCCAAATCAAACGTTCTGTAAGGCTACTCCACCCACAGAGACACTTCAATCCTCTAAAATCAGGCAGTGTTGACCAGGAGTCCTACTCACAGGTCAGATCAGGGGTCCTCAAACTTTTTAAACAGGGGGCCAGTTCACTGTCCCTCATATTGTTGGAGGGCTGGACCGCGGACCCCGGGACCAGTTGGCTGCTAAGCAGGATAGGCAGTGGCGGCAAAAACACCCAGTGGGCCTGGATAAATGTCCTAGGCGGGTTGCATGTGGCCTGAGGGCCATAGTTTGAGGACACCTGGGTCAGACCATCTAGAATTCCCTGGAGAGGGGATTCTGGTGCACAGAGCATTAGCCACTGAAGAACCAGACCCCTTTCTTGGTTTCTCACATTGGTAGATGCTCAAAAAATGTTTGTGAAATGTATCATTATGGTTTCGATTGTGTTCATTCCTATTCACATGAAGTCCTATCCCCCAGGGCTTTACAATATGACTATACTTGGAAACAGACTCATTGCAGATAAAATCAGTTAAGAAACAGAATGAGATCCTAATATGATTGGTGTCCTTATACCAAGGGGGACACAGACACAGGGAGAATATCACAGGAAGATGAAGGCAGAGATCAGGGGGACTCAGCAAAAGCCACAGAACACCCCAAACTGCCCTCAAACAACCAGATACATGCAATGAATTGTCCTTCACAGCCCTCAGAAGGAACCAACCCTAATGATTCCTTGATCTTGGACTTGTAACCCCCAGAACTCAGACAAACTTCTGTTATTTAAGCCACCCAGTCTGTGGTATTTGGCAATGGCAGCCCTGGGAAACTGAGTGGATGGATGGGTGGATGGGTGGATGAGTGGATTGGCTGGGCATGAGAGCATCACATGCTCACCTTCCCCATGCAACCCAGCCAACCAGTCCTCTGCCTGGTGATGGACGTGGTGATCAGGGACTCTGCTCTTCAGGAGGTGAGCAGGCCCAAAGGAAATGTGGCAGTGGAGGTCTCAGATCACTCACCTGTGCCACAGTGGTTTGACACAGCAGTGGCCACTTTTCAAGCTCACCTGCTGTCCCCTCTTCCCTGTACCCACAGGAGGCCTGAGGCAGGGAGCACAAGAGCTAGGATGACTTCCTGAAGGACATTTAGCAAGTGGGTCAGCTAGCAAGGCACACATTTCTCAAGCCAGTAGGGTAAAGGGGGTAAAGCAGTGTAATTTTTCAATATACAGGGTCAATTTATGGCTTAGAGCACATTGTAAATATGTAATAGGAAACACCACTTGTACTTCGGGGCCAGTGGCAGCCTTAAAGTCTTATAAGTATGCAACAGGTCATCTTAACTCCAGCTTTCCAGGCTAACTGTCCTCCCAGTAGCTTCCCCACCTATACTCTCCCTTCCTCCCATGGTCTCAGGTGGTGTGCCTGGGGAATGGTTTTGACTCACACTGCAGCTGAGTGATAACAAGTTCATTGAGGAAGAATAGGGAAGGACCCGGCTTGGGGATGGTGGTGTGGAAGTTAACGACACCAGCTCTACAGTCCTACCCTACTGGGTACAGGTCCTACCTCTTCACTGACTAGCTCAGGGACCCTAGGCAAGTTACCTGGCCTCTGAAAGCCTCACTCTCCTCAGTCATAGCACTGGAATAGCAATTCCTAACATGTAGGGCTGTTGTGATGATTAAGCAAAGTGATGCATGTAAAACCCTTGGCACAGACCCTGGTGGGAGGACAGTGGGAGAGGGTGCCCAGCAGAGTCTTCAGGCCTGCTAAGCCCTGCTCTGCCTGATAACCCCAGAACCTACAGTGAGAGCATGAACAACAGAATGAGGGAAATGCTTTGGGATGACTTCCCGGGGAAAAGCTGTGGGATGACTTCCTGAAGGTGTCTAGCAGGGGCTCAGCTAGAAGGTCGCTGAGGTGGACCTAGAATTGAGGTATCTGAACCTGAATCCAGTGCCTCTTCCACAAATCAGTTTCTCTCCTTTGGGTTTTTACCTGTTCCATGTACCAATTTACTTGTCTATAGAGCCTTAATACATTCACAGAGAACTAGAGTGATTGAGTTCAGTGCCCAAGGGCATAACTAGAGTTATTGAGAATGGCCCAGGGGAATTTTTATGCAATAACACACTTAGCAGTTAAGGACTGAAGCCTTAACCAACTTTGGTTGTGCCAATTGTAGGGAATGGTACAGCCCTGTGCAGAGAGATCACTCAGGCTCCAGGTTTATCAGGTTTGTTTACACCTAAGGATCTTTGAATGACATCTCTCCAAATAGTCATCCATCAATTCCATTTCACATATAATCCCATATAACCCATCCCCACCATATGTCTCATCTATTCATCTTCCCAACCATTTGTCTCTCCATCCACCCAAACTTCTCTTCCTCTTATCCATCTATATAGCAGCTGTTATTAGCCAAGCCCTAGGTGAGGCTTTGGGAATGCAAAATACATGAGGATAATGTTTAATGATTTATGATTCACTTTCCTTTTAAAGAAGCTAGCACTGTTGGCAAAGCCAGGCTGTCACAGATAAATGTTAAAAGCCCATATTTTCAGGTGGTGCCTGTGGCTCAAAGGAGTAGGCGCTGGCCCCATATGCCAGAGGTGGCAGGTTCAAACCCAGCCCCAGCCAAAAACTGTAAAAACAAACAAAAAAAGTGCCCACATTTTCATTTTATGTTTGTATCCTCAGTTGAATTTTCCAAGCATTGGTTGGTGTGATTAAGTAATTTGATTATTTCATAAGATAAACCTTATAGACTATTTAATTTACAACACAGAATATTAGAACTAACATATCTTTACTTCAATCTCCTTTCTAGGTAAGGAAAGAAAGATACAGAGAAGGAAGATAACTTGCTTTAGATCTCCCAGAATGCAACATGCAGAGACCAGAAAGTCACAGGGTCCCATTTGGCCATGTTGGAGGGATAAGGGCATATGATGAGCTTGCTGTTGGAAATTCTGTTGAGAATACCTGAGAGCCATCTCCCAAGGGAAGAAGCTCTGCCTAGTGACCATCGACATGAAGATGTCTAGACTGTTTTCTATTCTTCTGTGGAATTAGTGGAACACAGAGAAAAATAATGTCCAAAAGATATGAAACGTCTGCTGACACAGAAGCATGGCAGCAGAGATCTGGTTGGAGTCAGAAGATCAGGATTGGAATCTTGATGCTGCCACCGAATACCTTTTAGGCTGGAGGAATCAGCTTCTGTGAATGTCCACTCCTTAAATGGTGGTAACACCCATCAACCGGTGTTGCTGAGAGAAGCCAGTAAGACATAAGGTATAGGTTCCAGCAACAGTGCCTGCTCTACTGCAAGTGAGCCCTGCATGTTCCTTGGTACCAGTATCAAAGTTTAGGACTAAGTTCCCTACAAAATTAGGCATGTATGGTTAGGGACCTGTGAACAGAGCTCTCAGAAGGTTTGAAGATAATTAAAGACTTAAGCTTTCTCTGTACATGTAGACCTGGAACACACAATCTACTCTGAATTGGGGCTCTTCTATCATGCAATTTGTCTGTAGAACTGTCAATATGTGGCTACAATTATCTCACGTGTGTGACATTAACAGTTTATTTAGAAATCCAGGTGGACATCTGATTGCATTTCTTCAGTTCTCTCAATTAATGCAGTGATCACACATCCGGGAGAAACATCTGGTGAGATTATCACTTAAGCAGTTTTGCTTCAACTTGTTCAGATTTTAGAGGCGCAATATTATGGATTAGCCACATGGGGGCGTGGAGCTCTAATTTTTCCTGAAGTTGAGCATGAAGCCTTAGAAATTATAATGCCTTAGATATATTAGCAATAGCTAATAAACTTAGCAAAGCCAAAGACATATTTCATATGGGCAATGTCACAAATGAACAAATCTCTTTTATTTTTAAAAAGCTGATCATGCAGATTTCTGCTTTGGCGTAACACCCAACCCTGGTGGCCCATTTAAACCA